TCAGCAGGATATAACCTGACTTGCAAAACTGAGCAGAGAATCAGACCCATGAATCTGGTTTACAACCTACAACATATTTTCTCTGCAAACCTATCTAAATCTGAGTTACAAGACTTTACCTCTTAAAACATATGATTGTTCTTATGCTCTTGTATGCTTTTATTACACACCAGACCAGGTCAGAAGGTCTGTTCTGCAGCAAGCTGCTGTTCAGGAACTTTTGTTTTTCTTGTGGTGAAGTCAAATTTCAATATATGCAGTTTCCCTAACTCTATTTATTCCTAGAGTAATTCTGAAATGGAAGCAAGGGTCTGCAAAATAATTGTAATTGAGCTGGTATGACTAAGCTATACTGTAGGAAAAGTGGCTGAACAGTAGATTTGTATTTTGTCAAAGCTACGATTTCTATGGTTAATGCAGGTTTTAGGAAAGCTGTTCTGCAGCATCTCTTCCGGTAAGACCTACAATCACAGAATGGTTTGGCAGTGAACCAGAATGGAACACACTCAAAGAAAAGGCAGAATTATACCTGGAGTGTTGCTCGTTGCTAATACATATAGCAGATGCCTGTTTCACTGTTTACCCTTTGACAGCCAGCTATGATGTTTTATGATACTTTATCTGATGAAGCAATTTCGCTTCCTGCTACTCTGACACTTTCAAGTGCTTCCACGCTCAGAGGACAGCCTCTGAAGAACTGCTTGCCAGTATTTTCTCCACGTAAGAGGTTTTTCTTTAAAAACTTAAAAAAAAATACTGAAAGCATTGAAAAATGATGAAAATTGCATTTTTCTTTGCTGTGTTGTTCTTACTGGATCTCTCCACTTGCTGTGATGCTTATCCACAACATCCCTTGCCTGACATAGAAGATGCAAAGTTCATTGAAGACTGCGTGAGAGGTCACAACAAGTTTCGATCCAAAGTGAACCCACCAGCCAGCAATATGTTTCGCATGGTAAGGAGGCATCCGTGATCTGTTTGAAAATTAATATAGACTGTGCTGCTGATTTAGCTCATCTTACTTGCTTCGTGCTTTTCTTTCACTTTCTGTCAATGATTTCATATTGTGTATGTCAGTTCTTTGTAAAAAAAACCAGAAAAGACATTAATTTTTACAGTATTGTTCAGTTTTAATAATTTTAAGAAAATTCATTGTTTAGGGACAGATTGCTACTCTAAACTTCAGCCAGAGCAAAGGGCT